CGGCGCGATGTTATTCTTGCATTCTCATTAGAAAATCACGTACATTCGAAGAAAGGGACGCGCCGGCGCTGTATCACATGCGATAAATAAAAAATGGTAGAGCAAGGTGCAATAATACATTTTATGTAGGCAAAATATAAAGGAAGTTTTATGTGGATTGAACATCGGTTGAATTCCAAGAGTTTTAATCTTTTATCTGCTTAAATATATAGAGATTAATAATAGGATAAATAACGGAAAAAATAGCATGGAGATCTTACTGATATTTAATAATAAAAATTATATATTTGAGTTTAATTAGCAAGAGAGAAATAATTTCAGCGTGTTATTTATCGAGGATAACTTTTTACAGTCACTCCCTCACATGATATGATGCGTACACGCGCTCGAAAGTCTTACGTAGTATCCACGCAGTTTTTAATCACATCATCTTTCTCTGTACTGTTCTCTCCATCACATCGTATTACAAGCGCGTAGTAGTTTTGCATAATGCGTGATCTGTTATTTCACAAATTGATAGACGAAACCGTGAGGACAGTCACGTAGAGCATTCTTCAAATTAAAATGCGTCTCCCGATGTCCCATTCGTGTACGCTTCTTCATTAACTAAATATGTGCAAGATACTCGTAAACTCTGGATATAATAAACTACACAAAAAATATATGAAAAATTAACAGTACCTAAATGTATTTTTGTCAATATTCGTATATTGTATGTAAAACAATAATACAAAAATACAATATTATTCCTAATATTATTAAAATTTTTAATAATTTTATTTAATTTTAGTATATGTTAATACGTAATTAACATGAACAATTTCAAGAAGAATATAAAATATAAGAATTTTATTTTTTGTGACTCTAAAGTGGTATTTAAGTATTAGATAGCATTCATCGCGCGCGTACATAACACACACACGGACATACAAGTCTCGAGAAATTATATATTCTCTTCTCATCGATTTAATTTGTCTATAATAATATATCTCGCCTTGTTAATCTAGGTCATTTATTCATGACACTTTCGGCATCAATGCCATGTGCCATGTTGCTTTATCAATAATAACTCGTGACTTTTACCGATTTTATCTATAGTTTTTAAGCAATAGTTAGTATCACATGGCCGATAGTCGTGCAGCAGTTTTCATTTTGTTCACGAATAACTACATACATATCAACACATCCTTCATAAAACTAATAATTACAAAATTAACAAAACATTGTTTTATTTTAAAAAAGCACATTTGAAAAGTTCAATAAAAAAGTAAATTAGTTGATTAACTTAAAAAAGTTTATTTTTAAAAAGCACTAAAAAACATTTAAAAAATAAAAATTCTTAGACATGTCAATATTATTTGTAAAGTCAATATATTTTGTGAGAAAGCTGAGTTATAAGGCAATAAAAAGACTGCAGGCAGGTATATGTAGCGGTGAATGCTAAGTAAAAGAATTGACCGAGACGTAACACGGTACCATTTGTAACGGTATAAGTTTTAAGGGTTCTTTTTTCTTTTGTGATTTTTATTCTTTTCATTTTTTTCCGAAATATATCCTTCTAATCCATTACTTCAGAATTCTTGCGGTTTAGTCCGGATAGACAGGTGTGTCGTATTTATAATGCTATTTTTGGTGCCATTTAATCGCTATAAATTATAAGTTATGTCGAGTTTTCTAATATTTTTTCTATTCAATTCAAAAAACTCCAGATCGTGACATGTTAAATGTAATCTTTTCTTGAATATAGTATCAAAACCTTTTCGTAACTCATTATGGCTTACGAAACTAGACATAAAATTATTTATTATCTTAGCGAGTTTTTAGTAAGATAATATAAGAAGTGCCAATAATTGAAAACATTTGTTAAAAACGGATGATATCAAAAATTTCATTAAAGGGGGCTAATCTATCGAAAATGAATCTAATACGATTTTAAGAAACTTTGATAGAGAATCCATTGCGTTATTCATTGACTGATTACATTAGGTGATGCAATCAGGGGCTTCAAATTTACAAGCCTCACGTGGTTCGCTCGCCACTTTTTCGAGATGCAAGTCGGAGACTATATTATATATAATATATATGTATTAAAAATTCTTATCAAAACTGTTTTACATCAACAAAGTAATCTTCATTAATAACATTTTTAATTTACATTTAATGATCAATCAGAATGGAAACATATATTCTATATTATTGTCTCAAAGGTTATCCGTACGATTGTTATAATTAATTTGTCATATTACGCAACGTCAAGAGCACGTGTGTTATATATAATTAACTCCACCACAATAATTAATTAAAAATCTCTCCTAAATCTTTCCGTCTTAATTACAAATAACCACATCTGGACCACATCTTAGACTAGATTCCTCGAAAATATTTGTCAGTCGGAATCATATCTTGCACCGAGAATCCGGTGTTCATTCTAAGAAAATCCTTTCGGAAGTACAACCGATTTGTCACAGACGCGTGCATACTTCCAACTTCAGTAATACGGAGGTACGAATGTACGTAAGCATTCAAGAGCTAGTGAAAGGAGACGTCATCATTGACTCTAAGTGGGAGGTAAAAGAGGATACGAACGTAGTTTTGAGTGGGGAGTGTGTGCGCCGCGGTGAGAAAATTCGAAGCGCGAGAGGGGAAGAACCTGGATCACTTGATCAGGTGGAAATCTTCCCGCTTCTGCAAAAAAATTCCATCTGTATCGGATGTATACTTTGATTCATCAATTTTGAAAATTAATATGATGATTAATTGACATGCAACGTGGAAAGAACTAACAGTATATATACAATTCATGAATCAAGTTTATTATATGCTAATATCAGATTAAACATTTTCAATAAGTGTATAAGATACTATTTTGTTAAACATGATAAGAGAAATATAAATACACATACAAAGTGGTAAGTCTTCGACTCTGAAGATCTTTTTATTCTGACAATGTCAAGATCTGACAACGACACTGTGGCATGGGCAACCGCACGAAACATTGTAGTAATTACTATTAACGTCATCATGAATACTATCAGCATCATTGTTGTGTCTACTGAAATGTATGTGTACGTACTGACGTTGCCATGACGAAGAATCGCGACCTACCATTATTAACATCGTTCATTAATGCCATGAACTTTTCGCAATGATAACGAAGATGCTACGGACGTACGAGATTCTCGACCGGGGATAACGAATGGTGTCACGCCTTCGTCGACAATTAGCGGAATCGCGCGTACGGCCGCGCTACTGACGCACACATTCATCTCTACAAGGCGGAATGTTCCTATGCTATAATTACCTTTATCGACAGATTCATTTTATCTGCAACAATACATTTATATGTTACGATTTTTACGAAGAAACCAACTACACGATGAATCAACTATGTACATTTCTGCGATATAATAAGGACTGAAAGAGCATTCACGTGCCGACAAGGATATTTTTCGCGTAATTACGATTTCAGTATAAAAACTAATCATTTTTATTTTAATTCTATTTTTATTATTATATTGAAATACGTTTATTCAACTAATTTATCTATATACTTAATGTTTCTCTTGAATTGATTTTTTTTCCTCGAATTGAAACTCTATGTTAAGAATTTTTACTTTTATATACATTAAATGAAATGGAGCAAAGCAAGCAAAAATACAAATGATGAAAAAGAATAATAATTTATTAAATTATAGTTGTTGGAGCTATTTATAAATTAGCAAAATTGTGTCATCTCTTCTCGATACTTGGAGCAATTTTTGCAAATATTAATTACAATAAGTCTCAATATCCATTCGTGATACTTAATATCACTAGAGAGGCTCGAGAGATGAAACTACAATGTACGGCAGGTCGACCGTGAGTCGACGTTGGGTGACTATCGCCTACTACGTACACGTAGTGGGGGCAGATTAAGAGGGGATACCAAGTTGTTCGCGAGGAGTTATGAATGAGTCGCGAAGTCCTGAACCACCAGATCTCGTTGGTGGGGAGGGTAGGAGCCGTGTTGGAAACCTAACGCGTGCAGGAGAAGGGAAGAGATGATGGACGAAGGAGGTGGCGGCGGTGGCGACGTTGACGGTGAAGAGAAGGAGGAAGAATACGAATAGAAAGAATAGAAGACGAGAGAAGAGGTGAGCAACCACAAGCGCGGGTGATCGAGGAAGGGCGGGAATGGTGGGAGGATTGGCCGAAAGCGGGGTGCGGGCCACGTGCTTCGGTGACTTTACAATCGTATATAGGCACCGGTCGACGGAGTGGCCAGTACCATACACTGACAGTCATACACCGGGGGCGCACGAGGTGATAGAAAGAGTGAAAGAGCTGCGTTCGAACAGGAAGGAAGAGGGAGGAAGGAAGGAAGAAAGGGAAAAAGAAGGAGGAAAGAGGGACGAAAGAGAATACAATAGATAAAGACTGTACACGACAGTGAGAGGTGATCTACGTACGTCCAAGGCAGACGGATAGACCTCCACTACCGTTCCCCCTTAGTTCGCTCAACTACAAGTTCGCTCCTACTATAACGACAAACGAACAATTTGCTTCGCCCGCCTTCTTATCCTGTCTATTCGCTTGATTGGCCGCGTCTTTCTTTCTCCGCACCTCAGACCGTACGGCAAATCGGAAGAGGGATAAATCATTCAGTGACCGTCCAGCATCTTTTGAAAGCAAACTTACCTTTTCAATTAGAAGTGTAAAACTGAGACACAGCTTTGTGAAAGCGTGAAAAATACGTTAGAGAAAGAAAACGGACAATTGGAAGCGGGGAAATATAACAGTGGAAGAGACAACCAAAGACGAAGACGAAGAACCGTAAAAAGTATAGGAAAACGCACGAGGGCTACCCTTAACAGTGTATCCCTCTGATTCTTTCTCTTCATCTTGAGTACCCCCGCCATCTTATCAAGCACCCACCCCCCCCTCCCCTCTTTCTCTCTCAGGATCCCACAACCCCTCTACCCCCCTCATATAAGAATCAGTGCATCGCGTGTGCTGGGACCAGTGCCAAACGGATTGTGAATCTGTGCAGACTGTTTTTCGATTGTGACAACCCCTCAGGTAATCGGGAATCGGTGCGGTATCGTATGACGGAACACGTTGAAGCACACACGCACCGTCCATGTCTATATACATATATAGATATATAACGCACGTGTATCTATTGCTCGCATACATACATCGTTGACGCGAAGAGATTCCGCGAGGGATACGGCGCTACTCCCGCCTTCTGAGGCTGATGCGTTCGCGAGTGCCCGCGTGATAGTGTTATGCGATCACGATGATTGTGAAGAACGCGTTAGAGAATCAATCGATGCCAATGGAGATCATACTCACCCGCGATCAGAGGACTACGTCCCACCGGGTCCATGGCGACCATACCATGCGAGTCAACGCGCTGACATCGGAATCTGCGATCTCATCGTTGCAACAGACCAAATATCAGGACGACATCGTCACGAGATGTCATTACGTCAAAGAGACAACCGCGAAAACGCTTAAAGGAGAGAAAAAGAGTGATTCGCACCTCATGCCAACATTTTATCACGATCGGAGAACGCGACATTCTAATGCATCCTCCAGCGTACTCAGATCTCTAAGTAAGTCGAAGTTACCATCGCACACATACATACATACACGCACATACACACACATGCACACATAAAACATCAGATTACACAGTAAGCTTAATGCTAGCAACGATAATTGTACAAATAAATGTTGAGAATTAACATTATTTGTTACAACTAAACAAAAAATAAATTAATTAAAATTTTTGATCCAGAAATCGCCGATTAATACATTGCAAATCGGAGCGTCATATATGTTGAAATATTTTAATGTAACATAAAACGAGTTATTAGCAGGTGCAATATTGATTGCCATAAAAAAAAAATACTTTTATTGTGTCCTTAAACGGACATTATATATATATACTACATCGATTGATTCGAGGTCGTGATAATTCAGCAAAATGTATTACGTAATTATTTTAATAATATTTCGGCTGTTGCATCGTACGGTTCTATCTTTGCAGCGTGGTCGTTGTCAATATAAAAGTTGCATCCTCTTTCCGGCTGCAAGGCTTTCTCCGAATTGATTTAGAAATCATATCAGGATTTGCTTCATTTGCATCAAGCCAGTTGTTTATACCCCTCACTCCTTACTAACCTTTCGTAACATCGACGCAAAAATATATAAACTGACTTCACAAATAACCTATCTATTGAATATAATTGGTTGCACCTTTAGGATTCAGCCAAATTTTCCGTGATATTCTGTATATTAGTCATAGATCCGAAAAGAGAAATACCGATTCGTGTGTGAAAGTAGAGCTCAAGAATCCTATTACTTGGCTAACATCGATAAACTTGATTATGACTCGTAAATCTGCACCCGGAGCGATGCGATTATGACCTGATGGTAAAACCCGCGTGTGTCTCGAAACCTTAATCATTGAACGGCTCGTATTGTGATAAGTATCATTAGACTGGGCTTTAAGTATACTTATCGGTCTACAAGTATGCGTGATTTTATTTTCTTCAGTTGCCAATGGAAATTTTAAACTTTTTATGTTAACTTATAAAAATTATAATTTTTTTACATAATATTATGCCATTCTTTTATAATACATTAAACTCTACTGTATAATAATATAAATAATGTTTTTGATTCGTAAGCATCACTGTACAAAAGAATACATTGTATATATTAGATTCTTAATTACTTATTTAATTAATTAGCAATGTCTCAACATGAATTTTTGTGTAGAAATGTATAGTAACTCTGAATATTTTCTTTTCGCGTATCGGTAAGATAAAAGATGCAATATACATTATATAAACATGATATTACACTTTTTTTTTTATTCGGTTCATTGTCGCTCATGTCATTCTCTTTTGCGACTTTGACGTCATTTTCGAGCATGCCGATGAACGCGTATTAGTCATCCGACTTGTAACGGTCCTCCTTATCGATTCTTCGTTTACAAGTTTGCGAATCTTTTAAGTCTATACGCGTTTTCATTTGCTGTCTTATCTGCCTCTTCCAAATTCTCAGTAAAATCGAGAAGGATGTATAATAGAGGAGCTCTAGATTTCCCGGAATGAATTCAAAACACGGCACGTGCCAGGACGTGCGGTATATTTGCCTCCGTCCGCCCACCTGTTGAACAGCTAGGGTCCTACAGGTGGTTTAAATCCTTAGGTTCTACGAACCGTGAAAAGCTGAACCTCTGCAGAGGTTCATCTTTTAAATATCTGTGCTAGATGCCCAGATACTTTTATACTTCAAAATCAGATGATACATGGGCATTTTGTCGCTCTCATTCTCAAGCGAGACGAAACCTCTTTTAGAACAAGTCGACAGGGTGATACAACTTCGTGTTTACAATAGCGGTGACTTTCACGCGTCATTCTTTTATGACAACGAGAAATTGACGGAGAATAATCTATAATAAATTGTCAAACGTATATGCGCGCCGCGTATTGCGACCTACCGCAACGTGCCTCGGTCCGTAGACACGAACGGAAGAAAAGGGAGTAGCGGGTCGGGAGTAATGGGGTATAATTGTCGCGAGCAATGCGAGGACAGTGCGTCATTACCGCATTTTTCACCGTCTTTCTTGTTGGCCGACAGCAGAGATGCGCTTTGCACCGGTGTTCACCGGCTTTGTGCGCGATACTTTTTTCAACGCGGCCGCGGGTTCTTAGGAATTTCGATGGAACGCCGTCGTTGAGAGTCGTCGTTGAGGTAGGCCCTCGCGGTATCGGCGATATGTAGACGGTACCAGGGAAAGTATAAAGGAGGGTAAAATGGCGCCAAAGCCTATCATCTGCCGAATGTTTCGAGAACTAACTATTCTTTATTGATAAAATAGCAATTACACGACGAAAAAAATATATATTTAATATATTTATATTTAATCCATATATATATATTTTTTTTAGAGAATTTTTAGAGAATGTTAAAAAAATAATGTTTGCCAATAATAGTATATCGACGACAATAGTTTTCCGCCATACGGCATATCGACGTATTTCTGCGAAAAACAATTAAAATCGCGACGCATAGTTCCTGGATTAGGTAAACACGAAAATATAAGTTTTGAACTACAAGATCGCACGCGGCTTTAAATTTCTTTCTTCTCGAGAATGAGAATTTATCTGAAAGTATGCCTATATCATCGTATCCCTTTCTCCGCTGACAAAATTGACCGATCATGGAGCACTAATCGCATAGCAATTAAACGTCCGAGGAGAGAAAAAAGGCGCAGTAATTAAAGAAATAAGAGAAAGTAAACGATGTCTTTGAGCGACGAGTAAGGAGATCCGGATAGCCGAGATCATTTACGTGGATCACTGTGAATTTTGCGGCGCAATAAAAATACTTTGCAGTATGAATGGCTGTTTCTCTCTCTTTCTCTCGATACGGTCTTTTTCGTATATGGGCGAAAAAAGTGCAAGTTGCAAGTATACACGTGTTTCTCCTAACATCATTAGCAGACATTAATTGGACGTTTTCCGCCAGGATTATATCGCCCCTTCGAAGATACTTCTTCTTCTTCTTCTTTTCTACTATTATTTCCGTGAAAATAAAGTGCAAAAATGTGTTTTTATTGATTCGCCGTTGTGTATTATGCAACTATATAGTTACGAAAAGAAGGAATCGAGGCAACGTTTTACAATACACGTCATCGCAACTATAATAACTACATAAAAATTCACGTGATTTAGCTTTTTATTTATTTCTTATTTCGCGAATTAGGCGTTGTGTGACCTATCTGTATTAAAATACGGATTCCAGCACATAGATTAGGCGCGCAAACGAATTTAACGTTTAGCGTCTTTGAGATTTGGTTTTATAAACTAGTAGCGAATCATAGCGTGTTTCGTTTTTAAAAATTATGGCAATGTTGTCGCCGCCGTTGGCCGACACGGTTTTGCGTCGTCACTTTGGGGCGCAAACTTCCCTGCGGCAAATTGCTCTCTCATCGCAACGCAGAACGCACTTAAGAGCCGCTCATTAATATGCGTTAAGTGTTCGAGGCGTCTCCCCATGCCCCGTCCCACTCCTCGTTTTCTCTACATCTCGCTCTTTTTCCGTCTGCATTTCTGTCTCCCTTCGTTTGTACGGCGCGTCCGTCGGCTCCATCATGCGTTCATGCACATTAAAATTAAATTCGTTAGCGCCTGCGGATGGTACGACACACCTCCGGTTTTCAGTCGCGCGCTTACCCGTCCAGTCCAACTATAACGATATAAATTAAAAAGCTGAACTTGTGTAAAACTTCAACTCAATACTTTAAAATGACATTTTTTACTGATCGGAAAATACAACATGATACTCCGTTATATTTGAAACACGATAAATACTGTCAAATAACGATGATAAAGTCAATCAACAAAAGAAAACAGCTTTTTATTGTACACATTTTCTTATTATAGATCACGATTGACTTCAGAGAAGAGAAAGAAGACATACAACTTCCGATATAAATACGATAGAATTTATAATATTGACAAATGTAGAATGTCATATCTTATGAAAATCGATTTAACTTTAAATCAACAATTACACTTAGCAGTGTACGTTCAATGCGTGCATTTTTTGAGACCTCTTCGATACGGCGGTAAAGTGAGAGAGAGAGAGAAAGAGAACATGGATTAAATGCAGGCAACACGTCGTATGCGGTAGTCTCCCGTCGTTATACATCCTTCAAATGCGTACGCACAACTGTTGATGGTTTGTCGTCGTACCGCTGCACGTGATCTGAGGCCCCTCATCAAGGGTCGTAACTCGCGTAATAATGCGACGACGAATTCGCGGGAACGTAATTCGACGTGCGGTGATCTTGAAACTGCCGGATGATCATAAGACGGTCCCGATCGGAATCTACCATTTAGGCGCTTACTATCGACGAGTGAATCCCCGAGGGTGGAAACGGAGGGCCAATGAGCCGGAAGCTCAATGATAATTTCACGCAGGCATCTCGCGCGCTCTCTCACGTTAAATCGTGATTACCACCGAACATTGAGCAGTATCTTCGATTTGTCCCTTTTTTCTTAAGACTCAGACAATTCCGTTAATGATGCCCCTACACAAGTTAATCTTCATCACGGAATGGGTTCAATCCCATGGCACTCGGTTCGTCGCTGGATCTTCGATGGAACTATATTACTGTAACTGTTTCCGCAATCTTTATAGAACTTACTATTGGATATACAATGTACTGAAATATACGGAGCAATAAAAGCATTAACGTGTAAAAACAAAAAACGCGCCTCGTGAATCGCTCTGATTGTTCGATGCGTAAATGGAAACACTCTTTAATACGATGTCAATTGCAATTTCATCCAAGAAACTCAAATAATTTAATATTTACTTAGCCAGTTATCAAAATGGCACTTTAATAGCATAGAATAAAAGCGAATTCCACATTGTGATAGATAATTTAATTATAATTTAATGTATATAATAAAGACCGTTATATAGGACAAGAAATCTAAGGTGACTATTTTTGTTTCCAGGGTTAGGCAGTGCCTTGTTGATTCTGCTAGCGCTGTCGGTGCAAAGTGCCCCAGTAATGAATTCCCCGAACAAAACGGACGATATGAAATGGGTGAATCCCTGTGGCGTATCTACCAAATTACGAACAAACGGCTCCAATCCGGACATTGCTCAGTTGGAGGACCATGATCTCCTCAACCAAATAGTACTCCAAGCGAGAACGGCGTTGAAGCATGCGCAGCTTTTTAGAGATGAATTTGTAAGTAACAGAATACATATTTCTCTCTTTTTTTCGCATTGTCGTCCTCTTCGAAATATTTAGCTGCGTATCTTTTTTTCCATACTTATCGTTATAATTCACGTCGATACGATATCGGTGGTTTTATTGAAGAATTAAGCTCATCAATTCTTCGATAATTACTGGTATGACCTCTGGAAGGGGATTGGAGTGAGGGAACCTCGAGCGGAAGGCGGTTATGGTAGTACTTCCGGTCATCCAAACGTTCGATCGCAGTTCCACATAGATCTTTGAAGAAGCTTCCGATCTTATAAATCATGCCGCGTCTTTACGTTATTCGAAAACGTCTCATTAAATGAATTTTATTTTTGCTTATTGTAAAAATATAATGTAATAGTAAATATTACAGGTCAACTTTGGAATATGGACTTGATTACACTTCTTATTTCAAATTACAATAAATTCGCATTTTGAATTTGTTGAATTTACATTAAATATATTAAATTGAACAGTCTTTAATTACATTATATTTTACCTAACAATACGTTAATTATCTATTCTTTATTCTCAATTATTTATTCAGCTATTATGCTTCTTAAAGTTGTAACTGTGTTTTGGATTCTAAAAATAGTAATCGATTTTATGAGGCAAATAAATACATAGCGAGAAATTTTTGTTTCGAAAGAATCTTCCCAACCAATCGTACCTTATTATCTATGGCCAAGGACAATAAATCACGCACCAGACCCGAGCGGTTTCTCAAGGTTTCTTTCTAAGAGCAATCCAAAAAAAGAGACTGACTCGAAAACCGCAGAAACAGAGGTGATGTTTTGCATTCCAAATTTCATCCGTTTTTCAAGAAAGATTATCCTATATCTTTATGTGTGATCCGCTTGAAACGCAACTCCGTTTGTTGATTTCGCGTGTTTCAATAACATGTATGAGAAAATTTAGACTTCCAAAAAAGAGCAAGAAGCGAGAAAGCGCCGGTCATTAACTCTTAAACGATTGCGTTTCGCCAAGTAATGATATCCAGAAATAGACACCCATGATTGATCGCAGATATCATTTAAGACCAGACAAAGACCGACCTCCACTCGCGCGAACGGTGTTTACCTAGGTGAAGCGGGTATACGACCGAGTAAATTATCATTCGTCGCGTGCATCGAGAAAGGGTATTTCTGCCTCTCCGCGTTATAGGGCCCGTTTCGCCCTGCGGCTCCAGCTGAAGCCTTGGTTAAAAAGCGTTCCCGTTACATCATCGCGCGGCGATACCGGATACCGATGTTTTTCTAAGTCAGCGCATAATTCGATATCATACCGGCCGCGCACAACTCTCATTCCTACCCTTGGACAAGAAAGACAATAACTCGCGCACGTGTAAATGCCTCGCCACTTGCGACATATGAAAGATGGCATGGAAAAGGAATGAAGTCACAGTTGAACATGATGACAGGGAAGAATCAAGTTTCTCTCCTCTCCGGCTCGGCTCTATGCTCGCGGCGAGGCTAACAGCTCCAGGGGCGCCTTCCTCCACTGATATCTACTTGCGGCGACACACTGTCTGGTGGTCCAGTGTCTTCACCGTCCTCAACACTCGTTATCGGTTCAGCGTAGGCCGTCTACCGGCTCTCAAGGAGAGAAAGGAGTAGATTAGCCAAGGATACTGAGAACGGCGGAAATCTCACGACCAATGTATCTGTCGCGCGTGTGGCAAACGACAAGGAAAGTTTGCGGCGGACCTCGCAATCTTTCGCAACTGATGGAGCCATTCTCGCAAGTGGCTTCCGGGATAATTGAAAATCTTTAGAGCACAATCGTCAACTCGCGATCATGGATCTGTCTGTTGCGTTTCGTCTTTCTGCTGTTTGCTTTATCTTCAAACTTTCATTGTTTCGTCACGATGCACGGTGGTTCATCGTCTTTATACGCCGCCTATGAGTAATTTATAAATCGAGTTCAACCGTCCGCAATATTTGCAAATCGCGATAGCGACGGACAACGTCTACGTTTTCGCGCGTGTGCAGACGCGCCAGTACGTGAAGGAATCGGATAAAATATCGGAAGCGGAGGATTCCAATAAATCAGAATCGGAAGCTGCCCCCTCTCCACCGCGTATGGACACCTATACGCTACACTGGCACGCCGCCTGCATACTAAAGCCCAGACCGGATATACAACCTGCCAGTGCATGTACTTGCCTCGATATATACGACACATATCTCCTATCATGGTATACTGCTGTATTTCTATGTCCACTCGCGTCGTTTCTCTGCGCGGTGACATATTTTCCGGACGCGTAATCTGCGTGATGGCCATCGCGATCGCGTGAATTCTCAATTTATCCTTATAAAGTCATATAAGAACATTCGTATAAATATTATCACAAAAATCAGAATTATAATTTGATTAACAACGTTTCTATATCAGGAAAAAAATCTAAGAATCTGCACAATCAATATACTACTCAAAGTTCATCAATAACATTTATAGAAATTATTGACGAAATTATCAAAAAATTTCATAGGATGTATCGATATCGCGAACCATTCGATTGGGTCTCGAAGCCGTCACACCGAAATTTTATAACTTCTAATAAGCGGTACAGCGGTGAAGCCGCGCTAGAAGAAAGACTGAAAGGCTAATTGATTTTGACGGGTCCTCGGCAGCGCCGCGCGGAGAGCCATACCTATTCCTGCCAGCCTACTTCCTGCCAGCTTCCAGCCCGGTTTTACGATTATTCGTGCTCCAGTGTGGCCGACGAGACTTTTACGAGGCACAAAAGACCCGCGCCACAGATTTGTCCGCCGCCAGTGGTTGTTAGCGACAATTCCTTTCATTCTACCCTTTTTGTTCCGCTTTACCACCTTTTCCCGTGCTCGTTCCCGCTCTCTCTCTCGCAATCTCTCCTCCGTATTTATATATCTCGCAGCGAAAATGTGTGAGGAATATTCAAGCGTTTCGAAGCGCGAAACAAAGATCACGGCGATTGTTTTGGAACTTTGTGACTTCCAGCACCGTTTTCCGTATCGCGTTAAAACAAAGATTTGCCGAAGTATCGATTCTCAGGCGGATTGAGAGTCACCACGTGAATGTAACTAACACATCATAAAACGCGACGATGAAAACGAGTTCTTTTCGGCACCTGAAAGGAGGAAAGGTGGACGCAGGCTTAGGAGAGAGCACTATTCGTATAGGTAGACGCGTAGGTCTCGCTAATGTATTTATTAGAGGACTGCTTACACAAAATTACCGTAAAATTCCATTTAATTACCCATCAGGTTCCTCATTACGTATACCTATTACCTATACGCCTAGGAAGCTTTGCGTTATTATTAGCAGTAACAGTCGATGACGCAATTAGTGGCCGGCCACTTGTGTGAGTATTTAATATTTTTCGATACAAAGTAATGGGCCCAAAAGATATCTTTGTATTCTCTTGGACGCTTTCGTAACGACCGGGGCGTGAGAAGGGCCGATCACTGATCGGCGCGCGAGTGGTCGCAGGTACACGAGATCGAACATGCCATAACGAGGGAATGAATTTAATGAATGACTACCGCGATGCCGCCTTTCTATGGGCTACCCTTGCCAGCCATGAATTTCCGCCGCTTGTCGTGCCTTCGAAATCCACTTGTCGTCACGTATATGCTTACTTTCCACTCGGCCGTGTCGATATTTTCGTTCATTAACCTGCACGCGAATTTGTAAGCTTATTTTTCCGCGGCGTCATGTACGATAGATAGGAGGACAGTCCTCGAGGGATATATGATTTATCAAGCTACGCAATCGTGGTTCTTGGCAGTGTGGTTCTCAGGAATGTTGTTTGCGATCGAATGTATTATCGCACTCGCAGGTCGTACGAGAGTAGTGAGAGTAATATCGTACGATGATTATTTCCATTCCCGCTTGAGATAATGGTGCACGCAATGCGTTATCTGCACTGAAAACAATCCAAGATATGAGATCAATGAGATCGAATCATCTTTCCACATGCGCATATACGATATGCAGCAATATTTACTAGATAATATATATTAATGTAAAATGTTAACATCGGAATTCTTGTGTGAGACGGTTGTTTAAATCTTCAAACCCATATCGCAATTGTTTGTCATAACATGAGGCCGATGACCTATTCCATAGCCTCGAAGGCTTGCAAGACTGTCAATGCATCAAGATACATAACATAAACGCAAGACGTTATACAAAAAATTATGTAATTATGTACGATAAAATTTCATTTTATAAAATAACTGTTATAAATTAATATTTATTAATTAATATTTATTAATTCTTTAAAATCTGATGCCAAGTGCAACGGTACAATTTCCTATATCAAATCACGATATCAAAATGGAATACGAGAAGTGACTTCCAATATGTTACGCAAGCTGCAGCACGTTTCCCTCGCTCTCTATTTCTCGCGGCACTTCCCGGCTCAACGGGTGATTCATAATGACTCGTCCGATGTAAGCGATCCCTGATGGGACAATTGGCGTGTCTCGGCCGGCGCCCGGGTTTCCAAGTAATTTCTGGGTAAAGGACTAAGCTGACTTTTGTTAGCTGACCCATCCCGGTATTCCCGAAAAGTCAGCGTGCCGTCGCCGCGCCGCCACTTCGTGGCACGCGCGTTCTCTCGCATAGACAACCGACACGAACTGCCGACAGTGCGTTACTCACGCGGCAGTTCGCACGGCCGGCTGCGTTTTCATCGTACCAGGAACTAGGGATATCGGGAGACTGATCGTATACGAGGTGTTGCACGACGTATAATCGGTGACTAAACTCACTGACATCCAGTGGCGTCGCTTAGCTGCGCTACCGCGCGAGAAATTAACGCGAGCGAATCGGTACTTGCCGCTGGCAATAGTGCTGGCACAATTGGCGAATACCTGGAAATACAATAAGAGCAGCGCGGTGCACTAGTCCGTGATCCTTTCGCGAAGTGACAATATAAAGTGACAGTGAGATACACCGCTGTCAAGATACACGAAGTGCCAAACGCTGCTGTATTGTATTCGCATTATGTTCTTGCTGAATCATATATACTTCTGTCCTTAAGAATATTTTTCATTAAAAAGAATGTACAATATTGCATCAAAACGTATTAGATTATAAAGAAGAATATTAATTAAACAAACGGCTTGCTGTGTTAAATAAACGATTACAACCTATAACAGAATGACAACGACATGATTTTACACATGCATGTCACGTATCGTTTTATATACCCTAATCCTTAATCTATTCCTGTGCACAACGAATATGAAAGATATGCAGAACGATGTAGCAATAACGCGACACCCACGCGGAATAATTTTTCTCAAATTTCCACGAGATTGCAGCGCGCTAAGAGGACGACGATGAGGAAACCTGATATAGTCCTGCATATCTTTCTTCGATGCTGCGGTTCCTTTTTTGAGAGAAACGACGCATCTAATCATGCCCACGTTTTTCTTCTATGATTTTGCAGATCAGACAAACTTTCAAGACGGACTTCGGCAGCGTCCACAATTTGTGGAGGAAAAATCATTACGCTTGGCTGCCTACACGATCTGAAATACCCAAAGAACTGGGAGAGGAGCTGGATAAGAAGCATCTCGAGAAACTGGAAGTACGTGATGCTTTCAATAATATTAGTTTATGTTGCTTTATCTACCTGCGTAATTATTACTAATAATTTATTAGAAATATGTGTACATATTTCTCTAACAAATATGCATCTTTTTTTCAAATACATATTTCTGTTTCGCGACATATATTGTATGTGTATAAATAACTACACGCATTATGAATGGATGATTAACAGTTCGGATTTATATATTTTTAGATTAACACGTCTCTCGTCGATGCGTATGAATATATGCAGAAGTATGCGGTGGGCTTGGAGCAGGTAGTTTTGGATCAGAAGGATTATCAGCCTAAATATCATCAGAAATTCACAGAAGCCGAATGGAAACTTCGAGCGGTAAGTTTAGTTTCCGGATCAAATTCCGTTATCCTCCTAAGTGATTATGCTGAGCCGTGAGCATTCGACCTGTCGCTCTTTCACGGCGTGCGATATAAAAAAAAAGCTGCTGTGCGCGACTTTCACAATAACATCGGTACAATTAGCCTGAATTATTCTGCCTTCTGTTGCCGCAAGCACGATGAAAGACGTTTTGCCAAGTTTTACGATCGTTTTACGTAAAGGTTGAGACGTTAAAGATCGTCGCTAACTACCATTTTATCGACCATTCCGGCGAATGGCTTTGAGCGCGCTCAAATTCCTGTAGAGTTTCCTCCGTTTTTTAAAGTCATTTTTGATGAGCATCGTCGACTTCGAGAAAACAGATTCTGAAGGATCACTGCAGAAAAATCAGTCATCTTCTATTGAAAATTATTAACATTTATATCAATCCTCGTACTTACAAGATACGTTCGTTACTTTTGCGATCAACTCTAAATTAGTAATTGAATTTATAAAATTAGAGCAACTTTACATAGATATTAAAAATTGCAAATTGTCTGTAATCTTTGCTTTAATATCTTCATTTTTAATTAAAAAATGTTATTACATTAAATGTACTCGTATTATCCAAGTGTATTACAAGTGTCTCTAATATCCTGATGCTTTTCTCTTCTCAGGTTCTCTGTGAGATCCAAGTCGCTTTAGAGGAGCGTAGCGTTACGCGACGGCCGGATGTCACTCGAGATGTCATGACGTCTGATTTCCGAACGATGACGGATATGACGTTCCGTGATCTGCGTGACTGGCTGATTTTCCGAGAATACATGAATGGCCTCGAATACGTGATACAAGTGTTTTCGCACCTACGCCTACGTTTGTAATCGGCGCAAATCCTGAAGATCTGTACAGCGAAAGCCGAAGAAGGACTACCAAGCGATGTCCATCTCTCATCTCAGAAAATTAACGCGGTCATTGACAGCTTCATTTTCTTGAAATGATATTGGGAAGAGGATAGAAGGGACAGAGAAAGAGGATCATCTTCTGATTATCAAAATATCTCATTATCGGAAGAGCACAATTTTAGCGAAATGTGTCTTTGCAATGAAAATCGGGCTATTTGTTGGTATCGACGATGAAGATTGATTGATATATTGTCGAACCGACTGATATACCGCATCATAATGTCCATTAATGTATTAAGCTTCTATGATAATTTTTGAGATAGAAGTGCCATCAATGCTCTTGACACCTCATCACCATCCTCTTCGACGCTCTTTGATGTCACTTTGTGCGGTGCTGCATGTAGAACAGAATGAGGAAGAATAGGAGACAAAGATTTAAAAACCGCATCGTTATTGGTCCATTGGCTTTCGCCGTTTCAATTCACGGCCACATACACAATAATCATGCATATTCACATATCACACAAGCTATGATTTCGCGCGAAGATGCCGTACAATGTGAGTGTGTATATTTGATCTTATATATGAGAAAAAAAGTAGGGATAGATAGATTCAATAGCTCAATTGTTCAACATTGAAAGTAAAATAACTCTCGAGATAACAATCAAGTATCACGGTTATCTTACAATCTAAGAACGTGATATCCGTTCCCTTTTTCTTTCGACACATTATTAATATTGAACGTGGCCGCGATTTAATTGGCTCGATTTTCAGTAAAGACTTAAGATTCTTAATAATACTTTTCAATATAAATAATATTTGTAACAATCACTGCTACTATAAGCGATTGTTACAAATAAATAAAAAATAAAAAATTTTAAAATATAGAACAATCGATAAAAGTAAGAGTTATCACACAAAAATTTCATGAAAAATTTCAAATTGATTTCTCTAGCGTGATTATATCCACATAATATTTTGCTTGTCATATAGTGGTTTGAACATATGAACACTTATGACACTTAACACGCATTCTATACTCAAAAAATAGGAAATAATAAGTTGAGAAAAGAGCTAGCTAGGGGGAGAAATATAATATTGCTGTAAGGTTCATAATAAAATATGATCTTTTGAACCTTGCAGTAATTTAGTTCTCTCGTGATCAAATGCATATTACATTATGCACACGAAAATCCCACAACATTAAAAGGCCTCTCGTTAAAAAGGCCTCTCTTCGCGAGCGATTCATACAATCTTATATAATAATTTATTGACTACTTATATATATATATGTATATGTACGTTTGTATATAATATGATATTATATACAATACATAATATCATATTGCATATAACCATTATATATATATAATATTAGTATATCCATATTTATTCAGATTATTTATTTTATTTTTATAAAGATTTTACACTCCGATTAATTGTATTTAAAGTATCTAGTTGAGCTTAAAAGTGCCTAGTGTATATGAAAGAGAGAAAGAGAAAGCTATATCACAATTAAAACTCCGTACATACATGCGATTATTTCGCCTGTGTGTACGGAGTTTCATTATCACAATATTACTATCATCGTGCAAAAGGAGAAGAATGCATCCTCGCGACGAACATCATTATGTGTCGCGCTGTTGCTACTACTTCTCTTCTTGACGTACCTTCGCAGGGTATGAGAACTCTAATCAGAAACTTAAGGAGGCTCGTTAATTTCGCACTTTTGATCGCAATTATTTTACTGGCAAATGAGATTCTTCTAGTATTATATTTTACTCGATATTATTCTTTTAAAAAATATTCTTTTACGTAATCTTTTTTTTTATGCCGATATCGACTTTTTATTAATAATATGCGAGACTGTAGAAGACTATTGGCAACAGGGTATATCACGAAGATTTTCTTCAATCGATTCAAATTTACAATTTTATTCATGACAATCGATATATATATTTTTAACGCATAAGATATATATATTTTTATATCATCATCTACTCCATTTTTAATATTTTTATAAATTTCTAAATTAATTAAATCATATTTTCTCACATATATACACCTTACGCCATTGCAGTCTTCAAAACAATACCAGAGGAATTTTTTTGGTACTTACGATTCATATATAGTCGCGTAGCCAATCTTTTCTAAAAGATTGGTCACGCCAAAAAGTTACTGTGCGATCATTTGCAAATAATAACGTATCGAGGTGTGTACTGTCATACTTAATTTTCACATCAGTAGCAACATGTAAATCATATGTACAAGTCCGAGATATCATCGACGCAATTTTAATGCGTAAATCATTATTTATATACGCACACATGCATCGCATAAAATATATTTTTATTTTCTTATCATCGCGTCTGTGATATGCATCCTAGAACATCCCTCAGGCGACTAATTGTTCATTTCCGAATCGATCCACGCTTGCTTCCGTTCCGACATAAAAAAAAGAGACAGAGAAAAAAAGCGAATGGAAGAAAAAATGGGAAAAGAAGAGAACAAATAGCTGCAGCTAAATGTTTCTATTTCAAACTTCGATCATTACTTATATATTCCTATTTTATTATTTATTATTTTAAAATAATGTGACATTATAGTTTGTAGATCTTTATAAATGTTGATCCTTCGCGCACATATACTGATAAGTTAATTATTTTATAAGTATTCTTTTTAGAGACAGAAAATATCGTCGCAAAAGTTATTTTGCAAATTTTAATAAAAATACGTTTTTCTAAGAAATAATGTAGCAATATTGAAGATCCAAAAGTCGATTAATATTAAAATTGTTTTCTAAGAATAGATCTAATAACTTTTATACGCTTTGAATTGATCTCTGTCTCTTTTTATTACAACTTAAATTGTAAAAATGCATGGAACACATAAGTAATTACCAGTGTGACAAGCTATATACGGTCTTCAAAAGTTTTAATTTATTGCAAAATTAAGTAATTCCGATAATTGTAAATAAGAAGATATCGTGCAGGACCGTAAAAATAAAATTTTAATGATAGGATAATTGCGTTCCATATATTGCGACACATAAATTGAATTTGGATTAACTAATGCGATCGCTTCATATATTGTACACAAATGATCTGATAATATAGTTTAATGTAGTAATAAACTGCAAATTACAATTTTATGTATGGATATGTAATCTAAATACGGGCTTCTCTCCTCAGAATGCCCGTTCTGTTGTAGCATATTAAACCAAAGACCATTCGAAATCTTGTTATTATTTTAATATTACCTTTTTCATCCCTCCCCTAAATATAATTTCCTCTAAAGAAAGATGAATTGAAAACACTTAATAAAGTGTTTCACATCTAAAGAACAAATAGATTAGTTTACTAAAAAAGTATACTAATCAAATCCAATCAAATGGCTTGACGTGCAATAAATTTTACTTGTCTCTAAATTTTTTTTAGTTATGTTATTTTATGCACGTTTCATTATTTGCTTTTTAGTGAGTGTATTAACAAAGCAATTCTTTGATCATTGGCACGTGTTGCTCGAGCATTCGAGCTCGAATATTTCAACCTGACCAAACAGGATTTGCCTTTTCCCATGATCAGTGTCCGATGCCGTGTCTCCGTAGCTGTCGACGTCGTCGGTGTTTGAGAGGAAACGCGTAAGTACATGATCATCGGCCCGGGTACGGCTCTGTTCCAAGCCGCCGTGTTTGCCCACGCTGTTAGCTCATTGTCATCGTTCGTCCAACTTACTTTCTCATAAGGATTTCCACTTCTCTCGTGCTGATTCTGTGTTTAACAATCCCTACCCGCCTTTCCTTTGGTATTCTCATCCAGGTGGTCTCCCGAGCGCCGCCAAGGTGTCAATGTTTTGCCTAGCCATTAAGATCGTTAGCCCATCTACGCTGCGTTTGACAGCCGAAGAGCGATACGATTCAAGAATTTTATAAGAAGTTGGGATAATTGCTTGGTGTAAAAAAAGTACTATATTCTTCGGCGTGTAGTAAAATACGGTACCAAGGAAAACTTTTTATAAGTTTCTCTTTGGAAAATAATTTTTTTCAGGATTCTTTATGCTACAGCCAACAATATACATAATATATATTGTTAAAATTAGAATTTTTAAAAATGTACATTATAGTTATTAAAATAATTCCAATTGCAGACAACATTATAGTAATTATATACAATATGATAAGTAAGACACTGTAATAACTGCATCAGACGACTTCGACTCCGAAGTCCAGAAACATATTTGTTAAACGAGTAAGACATCGATGGCGGTCGGTGAATCTCCTGCAATGGAATTCGAAAAGTCCGGCGCATACATACCATCGGAAAGGAGCATCAAAGAAGAATGGTGCGCCAGTGTCTTCGCCGGTGGCGCAGGTAGGGATCGACGATCGAATCTCACAGGGCGAGATATGAATGAGACGTGAGAAGAGGCCGAAAAGATCGGTCAACGCTATGAATGGCTGGGAAAACTGCGACGTTTTTTATCCTACGGAACGAACACGCTTTACCTCTTCTTCGTTCCTCCTACTACTATTCTTTCACGTTTCTCAGTTGCTCCATCAACGGCGGCGATGTGCCGACCGGTGATCCTTTTGCACTTCGCTCCAAATGAGTCCTGAGAGTGGTCCGGAATCTAGCCCCCGCCGTTGCCTCGGGCAAATACTTCGGCTCCTTTCAACTCGAAAAAAAAAGAAATATTCCAGACCTCGTTGTAATTAGGATAGTGCGCCCGCATGGACAGCTACAAGGAGTCTCTCTCTTTCTCTCTCTCTCTCTCTCTCTCTCTTCGTCACTCACTATTCATTCTTCTTCATCACCCGCTATGTAACTCGCCCTGTCCTTCTTCGTCCTCGCCTCGTCGCTATTCGTCTCGAATACCTGAAGGCGTTCTCCCGCTAAGTTTCTAGTGACCCTCAAGACAACTTACAATAATGTCAAGACAAAAGGTTTCAAAAGTTGAGTAGTTTTCGCAGGTTACTGCGGCTTACCCTTGGAAACAGACAATCGACTGTGCCATCAAAATGTCACTTATTGTATATCATATAATTATTTACTAGCCCCTTACAATATACATATATATTGTTACTCAGGTATTATTTTATTGTTAGAAAAATTGCAAAATATTCACAAAAAGTATAAAATAACATATATTCTTTTGCATTTGTACGAAAGAGTGCGGAGAGTGAATTTTTTGTATTCGCCAATCAAAATAACCTGAGGAAAACGAGCATGGCACACAGTCATTCTTAACTACTGCTGATTGAGGGGCGGTGCTGTGCTAATAGGTTTCATCCCTCGCCCTCCTACCACGGATACCACGTTCTAAAACAGTCTAGATTTATTTCACGACTAATTTTGCCTTGTTAGCCGATAGGCTAGTACAAGAGGTCTATCCTTATTTCGTCAACAAAACACATGCATGTCCCTCATCATGATTAAATAGATATTAATGGCGGTTGCTTCAAACTATTCGTTTTCATACGCATATCATGTTTCGAATATTACTTCTAAATTTTTTCGTTATATATCTTAACGAATTAAGTTATTTGGCATTACGATATGTGTTAAATTCTTCGATCAATAAATTTATATGTAATTGTTACAATTCTTTTTTCATTGAAAAAAGATTCTGGTAAACTACAATTAAACATAAACATAGGTGCGTACAGAATATTAAAAAAGTTAGACATATTCCGTGTAAAATTGTTAATGTATGCGAGAAAGTTAATTATTATCTGTTCAGAATGAATACTTACAAAAAAGTAACGAAAGATGATAATGCATCTTCTCTTGAATGTTATTGCAATAAAAACAAGAAGTAGAAGACGTTACATAACAAGCATAGAAAACGCGAATTGGAATTATTTCCCATGTTAGCGATTGCAACGCGTTTTCTCTCGGTCAACGGTAAGATGGCTTCAGAGAAAAGAGGTACCGTTCATGGGAACTGTGAGACCGCTTCCTAGAAGAGTGAACACGACGCAGATATCGGTCGGAAGAAAGGAAAAAGAAGAATTCGACGCAGCGTCGAATGAAGAGGGACGATCGGCATTATGGAAATACCGCTCTTTCGCAACGTATCGTCGACGCGGTCGACGTTTTTACCGCAGCAGCTCGGGGCTATCGTTTTCGGCAAGTTGTTCCGGTCGAACGAGATGCATTTTGTCGCGAGATAACGTGCGGATTCGGGCACGTGGGTGGGACGGCGATAACCGGTAAAACACACGAACACTTTTAACAGCTAATTGCTGTAGATAGGAACGATCAAGAAGTTGACCGTGGAGTCGTGGTATATCGTCGATCGTTCTCGCAAAATGCATGGGAA